AATAACGTCCTTGTCTGGTGTTATATTTTAAAGAAATGTTTTGAGTGTTTATCATTTGTTCACTAAATATATATATGTGTATATATATATCAAGTGTTTATTGTTTTCTCAGTATTTTTATATTGCAGTCAAATTCAAATCATATTAATTATCTAAAGTTTTCCGTTGTCCCTGTTCACAAAGTTTAAAAATCAGCGTGTCACAGTTGAAATTCACCTTTCCATAAGTGAGTTATAATATAGGTGTACATATATCTGGTAAGATATATTCAAGTAATTTTGTAAATCTCGTGTAAGTGTTGTGCGCAAAGTTGACGACATCATTATTAACCGGATGTAAAAAGGTCGTCAACGTTACGCACGATTTCTACAGCCTCGTAAAATCTACCTTGTGTATGCTACCTAGGGCTGAACGAGTGGGAACATTTCTGGAAATTGTCTCCTACCCTAGCAGCCAGTTGAAGTCAATCTCAGTAGTAGAAGCCGTCTAGTGGTAGGGCAAATAGGAATTTAGGTTGTATCTACAGAAATATTGAATACAAGTCTAAAGAGGTTATAATTTCATTATATAGGTCACTGGTTAGACCATATTTGGAATATTGTGTCCAATCTTGGGGTACTTACCTTAGGAAAGACATTGAATTTTTGGAAAGGGTTCAGAGAAGGGTTGCTAGAATGGTGCCTGGGATGGAGAGGTTGTCATACGAGGAGAGATTGAAATCTCTCACATTTTTTTTCTCTTGAAAAAAGAAGAGTTAGGGGGGATGTGATTGAGGTGTTGTACGATTGTAAAGAGAACTGATATTGTTGTTGCATAATCTTTTTTTTTCCATATTTAACAATGAGAATAGTAGGACTAGTGGACACAAAGCTAAGGGTGGTTGGCCTTCGGATGTTGTGGAGGCAGCAAATTTAAGTGAGTTTAGGAGAAAGCTTGATAAGTATATGAATGATAAAGCTGGCTTTAAGATTTTTTTTCATTAATATAGTTTAGTTTCGAGGACGGAACAATCGAGATGGACCAATAGGTCCCATTTTGTCCGAAAACGTTATGTTATTTTGCTATTTCTATTGGGACAATTAGGTTTGCCATGTAAAAAAATAAAAATACTTTTTCAGTGTTCCGGTCGAGTCAGTAGTTCATATGGAATTTCTGCCTGGTGATATATAACATATCAGATTAAAATACTGTGTTCGAAAAGCCCAGAAATACTTTCCGTTAAATTTCGGTAGTTGTTTGAAAATTTTGCATTGTTGAGCTGTATTTTCTATGATTTAATAATGCAAACAAAAAATATATGTGTGTTTTTTACGTTAGATAACAATAACAATTTGAACCGTGACAAAAACAAAAAAAAAATAACCAAGTTTGTGTCGTTAGGCTTAAGGTATACCATAAACCTTTCTTGTATTATTTAAGTGTCGGGAATAACAACACGACCAAACAAAATAACCACGAAAAAATACAGGGTCTGACGTTTTTTTTATTGGTACAAATATCACACGAGTGTCAAGCAAAGTTTCATCTATGATGTAGGCTGTGGACAGTTTTTGAAGAATATCTCTGTTTACTTTGTATAATATATGAAAAAACAAATAAAGGCACTGCAGTTCTCAGAAAATTAAAATATTATTATTAAAATATTATAATATTTCTTAATCTTACTGAGCTAAATGTAGGATTGAACAACAGTTTAAATATATGACAAATAAAATAGTTTGTTTGCAGCTTTCTTAGTAAAACAACATACGTATCCAAACCTCATTTTCTTTTTATAGTTAAGTAATTGGAAGATGGTATATGTAATAATAGTTGCCTTTCTTCTAGTATATAAGCTCAAAATTAGGGACGGTTATACAAAAATTAACCCTTCTGTAGCTTTGTGCGAATACTTGAACCAAACCATGATGCATAAAAGTACTGAATGAAAGTCCTTCTCATCATGCAACCTAACTTGGATAATATTCCAAACCTTTTTTTTTTTATACCATTAGAATATATATTTTTAAGATGCAAACTTGAATGCTCTAGATAAACGGCAAGCTTTATTTGTGGAATAAAACTACGCTTTTGATATCAAATTTATGCAAACTTGAATACTGTAGATAAAAGGGAAGATTTATTTGTGGAATAAAACTACGCTTTTGATATCAGGTTTATGCAAACTTGAATACTGTAGATAAAAGGGAAGATTTATTTGTGGAATAAAACTATACTTTTGATATCAAGTTTATTCAAACTTGAATACTGCAGATAAAAGGGAAGCTTTATTTGTGGAATAAAACTATGCTTTTGATATTAAATGTTCTTTTAACTCATCATTTAATGAACTCTTAAAACAATAAGTTATTTTAACCATAATTTTATCGCAAACTAGGTGCGTAGGAGTGTTATTATGGTAAGATTCAGTTACTCTAATAACTATAAAAATATCCTTTGTTTGCCTTTAAAACCAATGAATTTTAACACGATAACACGTGGTTCGTTATCATTATTATGTGGTTTGCATTTGCTAGCTAATATTTCATATTATGAACATCTTTTAATGGAGTAATGAAAAACTGCTGTTGTTTAATTCACATCCCAACTCGCCTGTTTCACTCTCTTTCAAAATATACATGTTTATAATGTTGATTTACTTGCTCTTGATTCACGATCAGTTCGTTTTAAATGTGACTGCATAAACCTTCGATTTGATAAGGACGTAATTTTACCAAACTCTCTTTAAAAAAAACCAACAACAAAAAAAAAACCAACAAATTCAATTAGTCTGGCGCATGATGAATTGATATCGTTTTAGTCTGATAACAAAACGACAACAACAATACTAATATGATAACATTGAGAAACAAATACTTTTTGATGTAAATATAGGCTCTAAGTATGATAAAGTAACAATACTTGAGGTATGGTCAGTAAAATATGCGCAATATTTGTTTGTTTGTTATTAAGCACAAATACACAATGGGGTTATCTGTGCTTTGCCAACCTCTGGAATATATATCCGATTTTTTTAGCATCATAAACCCCCAGAAAAAAAATTAGGACAAACGTGGATATTTTACAGTTCTACTTTACATATTATCACATATCTAGAATAAAAATGCAAAATTAATAATTAAAAATAATTTCTAGTAAAATTAAACCTAAAAAATCATTACACGTGTCTCCGTTTTGCACGTAGCTGATTTATTCAACAACTACACAGAACATAGTTTACGCTTGTAGCGCCTCAGTGGAAGTTCGAAGAAAAAGTTTTCTTTTTTTAAAATAACGTTTTGGTTTTGTTCAGTGTAGTAGTCAACGGATATCCACCACTATAGTTATTCTACAACTAATAGTACTCTGTTATGCTAGGGTAAAATTATACTCAGCATACTAATAAAGACTAATGGAGCTCCAAATTAAAATAGTTTAAATAAGGAAGATATATGTATGAATATACCTTTAAACCTATTGTTTTAGTATTTACTGGTCTCTTTATGACAATAAAAACAAGCTACCTCTAAACGTGCCTAACGAACCTACTAAACATATATACATATTGGAGTAATTAAGTAGTCACTATTAGAGAGAATAAGGCTAATAAATGATTAATGACAGTAAAAAAACAATAAGGTAACCAACCACTGACAGTAACAAAGAATAAGACACAAAGTAGTGACAGTAAAGTAAGAAATCTAAATTAGCGACTACAAAAAAGAAATCAAAAGTTAGTCTATGGTAAGAAGGAATAAGGTCAAGAAATAAGGATAGGAAAATATTAATTGCAAAATAATAACAACAAGAAAGAAAAAACCGTAAAATCGTGACTGTAAGAAAGAATAAAGCCAACAAGTGGTTATAATAAGAAAGGAATACATTAGCGGACACTGAATCCAGGAAACATATATGCCAGCAAACAATAACAGTAAATAAAAGGATACTAACAGGTAGTGACTGCAAGAAAGAAAGGTGTTTGCATATAAAACGTCCAACAAAGAAATATGATAAGTAAGAACGTTTTTTTTTTTCACGAAGAGTTACCGTAGGAAGAAGGAAAAAAAGTGTATACGAAAAACGATGTTAAGAAGCAGTGACTGTAGAAACGAAATATGTTCACACAAAGTGAACGCAAAACAGAATCCCGAAATATATTCATGCAGAATGAAGACAAAGAAAGAAATGTGAAAATGATTAGTAACTACAAAAAATAATGATATAGTGTTAAAAGTGTGTAAAAAGTAACAGAATGATCAGTGCTTGCAATACGAGAGGATATTAACATGTAGTGCACGCAAGAAAAAAAATCGAATAATTAATGCTTGAATAAAATGAAATATGTTAACAAGTTAATAGAATAATTAGTGCTTGAATAAAATTGAAAATGTTAACAAGTTTATAAAGTAATTTGTGCTTGAATAAAATGGAAGATGATAAGTTGAGACAGCGGTAAAATACAAGTTTAGTGCTTGAATAAAATGGAAGATGTTAACAGAGTAATTAGTGCTTGCAACACAGAAAAAGGATATTACCATATCGTGAATAAAAAAGGAAGTATGAGAATAATATTCAAATTCCAGCTTCTCTGGGTGCACAATCGTCTGATAGAAATTGTTCAACAATAAAAAACTAATATATGTGTATTATTCACATCCTAGAATCCTCTTTGTTAAGTATGAGAATAATACTTTGTGCCACGAGAATAATTAGTGTTTCTAACACAAGAGGATATTAACAAAGAGTGCTTGTAACGAACAACAACAACAAAATCTAGAAAAAAAAGAGGAGAATAAAAACTACTATCTAAACAAATTAATCATTCAGAATAGCTACAAAGACGACAAATGGGAAATAGGATATTTATAAAAGGGAAAGACAAGAACAGTGACCGCTACAAAAAAAAAAAAAAATGTAAGAAAATGTAATAGGTAACTGCCAGGACTAGGAACTAAGAAGGAAGGAATACTAAAAGACATCTCTTATTTTAATTAACATTTTTTAAAGAATATCTGCCACACTTATAACGGTGTTAGTGTGCATTCAGGCTCATTGCTATTTATTTTGTCCTTTCCCATGGTCAGTCCTCCGAGGTCAGTGGAACTTGGGCTGAAGGCAATATTAGAAATTCCCTCAGGTTGAAATGGTGGTTTTTCGAAACTAACGGAGCTTACAACTGTCGCCATAGTTGACACAGACATGTCTTTAGGAAAAACGGTCTGCAAATACAAATAGTATATAGTTCCAAGATACTTTTTTTTGAAATTTCACTTGTTACAATAATAATGGAGAACCATTGTTCATAGATAAGATATTGTAGAGCGAATATGGGAATAAAATTATAAATGGTAAGTATATATAAGCAAGTAAGCCAGGTAGTATAAAGCTTGCACAGAATAAGAAGTACAATTATAAATGAACATATTATACATTAGAATAGTTCATAGCATAAAGGAGATAAATGCAATAATCAGGGCTTAAAACTTTTAAAGGGAATTAATTAGAAGGCACAATAATTAAATATAGTGAATAATATTTTTAAGATGGAGAATACAGAAATTAAGTGTCAACAATGGCATAAACTATGGTAAAAATGTTTTAAAAACAATGGTGTAAAATATGAGTGTAAATGACGGTCTACAATAATGATTAACGTCTTCTGATGTATGAAAATATAGAATGTAGCTAGGATTGGGATGGCCACAGGTTGGATACCGTAAAGAGGATAAGGTGAAACACAGATTACAGCTATATTAGACATATTCCCTGAGTAAGTAGGTGAGAATGTAATAACCTGAAACTGACCCTGAGTAAGTAGGGGAGAATGTAATAACTTGAAACTGACCCTGAGTAAGTAGGGGAGAATGTAATAACCTGAAACTGACCCTGAGTACATAGGGGAGAACGCAATAACCTGAAACTGACCCTGAGTAAGTAGGGGAGAATGTAATAACTTGAAACTGACCCTGAGTAAGTAGGGGAGAATGTAATAACCTGAAACTGACCCTGAGTAAGTAGGGAAGAATGTAATAACCTGAAACTGGCCCTGAGTAAGTAGGGGAGAATGTAATAACATGAAACTGACCTTGAGTAAGTAGGGAAGAATGTAATAACCTGAAACTGACCCTGAGTAAGTAGGGAAGAATGTAATAACCTGAAACTGACCCTGAGTATGTGGGGGAGAATGTAATAACCTGAAACTGAAGTAGATACGTTTAAGTTTGTATTGGATTTGAGATATGTGAGAACATTTAACTAAAATTCAAAGTTGTTCTAAGTGTCTTATTGCATTATATAAAGTACCAGTTAACGTTGATAAAAATATGTGGATTTATGTTATTATTTTGATCGACTCAGTGTAATATAAGAATTTTTAAATTCGTTTGAATCATAATTCTCCTACAATAAGTAACCCTAGCGGTAAGCAAATATAATTTGAATTTAAGAAAGAAAATCCGCTTCTGACTGACCTAGTAGTTATAGAGTTAACTTTGCAAAACGTTCTTCTTATGGATGTTTGTTTTCTTATGGGTTATCTCTGTCATGTTTTGGAATTTTTGAGACATTATGGCATGAATTAGCATATCCTTATATCATATAGGTTTAATAGTATATATATATATTTCAAATCGTAGTGTAACATACCACATTACGTCCGACATGGAATCTCAACTTTCTTCTTACTTTTGCTGGTAAGCAGCAGCAAAGTTTATCAAATACTGGGATGATCAGCTTGGGATCCACGTCCTCAGGATTTTGTAATCCTACATAGAAGGCGAAATTTAATCATTTTAAACACATCTCATCATGGCAAAGAACTGATGAACAAAATAAAAATTATTTTACTTCACTGAGTCATTATAATTAATCCTGTCTACCATATTATGGTAAAATTATCCACACTTCCGACTTACTTTCAACTACCGTTGTCTTATGTATTTTTTATTGGTTGTCTCACAACAAACTGGCCCGGCATGGCCAGCTGGTTAAGGCGCTCGAGTCGCAATCTGAGGGTCGCGGGTTCGAATCCCCGTCACACCAAACATGCTCGCCCTTTCAGCCGTGGGGGCGTTATAATGTTACGGTCAATCCCACTATTCGTTGGTAAAAGAGTAGCCCAAAAGTTGGCGGTGGGTGGTAATGACTAGCTGCCTTCCCTCTAGTCTTACATTGCTAACTTAGGGACGGCTAGCGCAGATAGCCCTCGTGTAGCTTTGCGCGAAATTAAAAAAAAACAAAAAACACAACAAATTAGCGTTAACACAAAGAATTGAGTTTTGAACTTCGTTAAGTTTGAGAAAACAAATTTAGTAGAAGAATTCTCACCAGTAATAAAGCTCACCAGAAGACCCACGATGATCACTACACAGCATGATAAACCACTGAACCATATATAGGAGATGCGGTATAAACCAAATATTTCGGCACTGCGGGAACAAATAAATCAATCAAGTGGTGTTAGTAAAAGCTTTAATATTTTTTAGGACCTTCTCGTTAAAATGAAACTCTTATACAGCTTTACTGTCTAATTTTTTACAGAAGTTTAGGAAGTCTAGGATATTGCTATACAGAAACTTAAAATGTCTAAAAATCTCCAATGCATGTAATTTTTCTGACTAAGTTTAGGAAAATAAATAGTAATATGGCTTGAATTAAATATAGCAGGTAATTCCTTGACATCAGTTGTACAAATACAGATATAAAGTCATATAATGATTTAATCTGCAAAGCAACTGGTAAGAGCAAAAAATTTTCAACTTTCAAAGGCGCGTGGTAGATGGTTCTCGTCTAGCAGAAGCATTGTTGTCTGACGTTCAGAAATATCACTCGTGAAAAAAGAATGCATAGGAACACTAATAAAAACTGTACCAGATGGAAAAGACGATTGGAGAAGGAATGAAGTGTTTCAATTGACCAATGGTCAGGATTGGAACAAAACACTTTCCGTCATCTTATATAGTCCTGGTTGTAATCTGAGTGAAAGGTGGTTTAACACATCATTATGGAGGATCCTACAAATTGAACAGTCAGTGTATTTACCTTTCGGCCTCTACTATCAATGAAACATATATATATATGTATGTTCGTGGCTACGTACAGAAAACCTTATCAAGAGGATATGTACCAACAGTTGAGATTATAAAAACTGACTGTTTTATAAAAGTAACTTACTTTTTAATAGATGGAGCTACTGTTGTTGCTAAAAGAGCAGTTCCGTTGTGACAGCCAGCTATCGAGAACGGAGATTTTGGAGCAGCTGGTTTATGAACGAAACTTCCAAATCCAACCCAAAAGGCTATTCCTAACCCAGAGAACAGGCCTGTAATTGCACCCTATAAACCAAACCAAATTGTTTAGCTAGAACAGATTATATTATGCTAATTTATACTACTCAAAATGATTAAATGATAATAGGAATTTCTAACGTTATATCTATGATAAGGCAAAAACCACTGTTATAGAATACTTTCTTTTACCTCTTAGTTAATTTTTATGCAAATTTGTCAAGTGATCTGAACTGCAAGTGATTGGTAATTTAACCTATGCTTGTGAATTAACATTGGGTAAACGTGGTTTTACGTTTTTACACTCCATAAATTCCACTTCAACACAAAGTATGGTCACCACGAGCAGTAAGGACAGCCTGGCAACAATTTTGGATACTTCAAGGAAGAATGTTGATAAGGTGCTCGGCTACTTCTCTGAAAGAGCTGTTTTCAGGGCAGTAAAGAGTTACTTGACCGAATGTGACATGTTATGTTCAATGTCCGGTGAGCGTGAAGGCTACTCTGTACATTCAATCTGTTCTTTTTTCAAGAAATGTGTTGACCAGTTAAATATTGAGGGAATAGGCTTTATCAGTCATTGAGTTGAAGTCAGGATCAATTGTACTAGCATATGGTAGCACAAAATATTTTATAGGATGTGGTTCTTATGATCTTAATGATACCATTTAGCAGGATCAACACATTCACCACTGGTTCTTCCTGTTCACATCATGGTTCCATCACTGCCATACATGTCATGTTCTTGTATGAAAGTTGGCAGATCTAGTTACAGATTCTCTCAAAAAGAGTATGATCTTGTTATCTGGCTGAAATGTAAACAGCATAACATCTGTTAAAAGAATATTGCTCCACGTGGTGCAACGTTTTAAAATCTAGTGAAAGATATTAATGTTAGTCCACTGTAGGTGTCTTTGACATCATTTCAAACAAACTGGTTTATGCCTTGCTGTAAGCTTAATGTTTTTCATTGGGAAATTTGTGTCTATCTGTATGTACACTTATCTGGCATTCAAATACGGCTGCAAACATCTGATTTACTTAGGAATTTGTACTAGAATCACCAAAGAACGGTTTCATACTCGGTCTAGATGTCATAATAATTGCACCTCTGGTTTGATGGCAGTTCTATATTTGGTAACAACACTTTGAGTCACTTCGCAACTACTTGCTGTGACATATTATCTTCTAGTGTCTCCGCCTCTCTCTTTTAGTCTCTTGGTAATACAACGGTAAGTTTACGGACTTACAATGCTAAAATTCGGGATTTGAATCTCCGTGATGGACACAGCATATAATCCAATGTGGCTTTACTCTAAAACAAATAAACAAACCCTCTTTTTTTTTAAACACACTAAAACACTACAAATTCACGAAAAACAGATACCACACAAATTCCAAAGTCAGCGATACCTTAAAACTGCATTTCCTCATTAAAAAACAAATGTACTAGAAAGAAAAAATAGATTCACAAAGTTTCTTACTCTTGGGTCGAAAATGAAAAGATTCAAAACATTTCTATAATCTTAGAAAACCTAACGTAGTTAAGAAACGTTTAAACACCGGCTATTTTATGAATTAAGATCTATGATATACGCTGTGTACCTCGCGTGAATAATAACATTAAATACAAGAGATAAAAACTAAACAAGTGAAGATACCATATTGATCTATATCTTTCAAAAACAAGAAAATTGCAAAACATTCACAATGATTAAATAAGAAAATATACCTTCAAAACGGTAACAGACGCTGCCTCCTTATTATTACCACCAAATAGAACGATAGCAATGACTAGGTTGTCCATTGGCTTTTGTGATAAAATGTATACAAAACTTACCACAGCATTAGCCCACGGGAAAAACATTCCAAGACTAAACAGTCCTATGAGGGGTCCTCCTATCATTCCAAAGATACTTAAAGCAGCCTAAAGAAAGACAGAGAGAAAAACTTGTTTAAAGTATTGAAAAAGGTCTGTAGTGTACATTCCCATCAGACTAACGTTTATAACAGTATTCATATTAAGCTCCGAAATACATACAAAATATACGCTGGAACAGATTGTATTGTGAACCAGCATTTAAACTGAGTTCTATTTGATCCCTCGACTTATTCAAAAGAAAAATATTGATGATTTATTGGATTGGATAAGTACAACAATGTACTTCCTGCAATTTTCATAACTAAACGCAACCACTTTTCAAGGGTAACTTCTTCCAAGGATTAAACAAGTTATGCTAATTTACTTGTTTGCAAAGTTGTTTGTTTGTTGTTGTGTTGAATCTCGCGCAAAGTTACTCGAAGGCTATGTTCGCTAACCGTCTCCAATTTTGAAGAGATACACTAGAAGGAAGGTCAACACCACCAACCGCCAACTTTTGGGCTACTCTTTATCAAGGAAAAGTGGGATTGACAGTCAGATTATGACGTCCCACAGCTGAAAGGGCGACCTTGTTCGGTGACGGGATTCGAACCTGCGACCCGTAGATTGCGAGTCCATTGCCCTAACCATTGTCATACTAGACTTTGTACAGAGACAACTGGTCTCGTATTCTTGTTCTTGACTTGAGCTTACGTTAAAGCAGTAGCCTTCTGAAACTTCTGTCTTTTTAACTCACCTTTCTTTTATTGTTCAAATTTTGCCTAGAATTTATTTGAATTATCTGTATAAGTTATCCTGAGTCTAGCATATATCTTTCAGATAAACCAGCGATCTCCAACCAAAAAAACTTAAAAAATGTCTCCTACCGGCCCCATTTTTCCAGACAGCCAGTTTCATAATCAGGACGTCGGGAGGAAAGAAATTTCAGAGGGGAATGGTTCTTGGATGTAGTAATGGTTGCATGAGCGTCCCATTAATTTCAGCCAACTATTCATATCCGTATCCATTGCGGGTAATGTGCTTATGATAGAAATAGAATACCTTAATACCAATTATCGGCAGGGTGAAAATCAACCTCTCTTTAGTTTATGTGAGCTTTGAAACTTTGTGAAATAAATCTTGCATGTAACAATGAATTGATCACTGGTATTTTAATGAGAGTCTATTATACACAGGACATTCTGTTCTACTAAATTTCATGTTAAGGCTGCTCGCTTATTACAGCAATAAATGCAAAGTTTCAGCTTTCATGTCGATGAAATTGTATAGGAAGGAACCGCACTATACATGCTGATACACTGCATATCCTGTCCAACAGTGGTTTTTAACATTTCTGCCTCGGCTAGCCATAGTCTGATTTAAGTCCAGTTGAACTACCATGGATAATTTCAGAATGCCGCAAAAGGGAGATAAAGAACAGATACTTAAATCTTATTACATGTGGAACTGCTTAACAAAAGGTGTGGCAGTTCATTCCATCAGACGTTGAAAAACGCTTGGTAAATTTTAGTAAATGAATCCAACCTGTTATTGTCGTCACAGGTGGGTTCTCCACTGTCAAAATAGAATCGTGGCGGCGAAGCACGACGAGACCTTTTTCAAGGTTAGTTGTTCTAATACTTTTGGAAACTTAGCATGTACGGTATAACAAAAATGACGTGAGTTATCCAAGGGTCTGGTGTGTTAGTGACGATATTTAAACCTAACGACGTTTAAAAATCTAAATGGAATATGCCCGATGACTATTTAGAGCAGCCTTAATGTCCGTTTCTTATGTTCAATAAATTTATTCTTACCACTGTTTCTAAAGATATATCAATATAAAAGAGACAGTAATAAATAATTAAGTAAACTGATGTTTTGTATCTTATTAAAAGTCTACTTAATACGAAACTGTTCGGACATCATCATAGCAAGTAGATGTTTGCAAACTGCTCATTTCATCCTTTTTTATCCTAGATTACCTTTGGGTGAGAGCATTTTCTTTCTTGAATTGCTCCCTTCCCTCGTAGAAATGTAATATCATCTAGTGAATAGAAAGGGAATTTTTTCTAAAAGACGCACTCGGTTGTTAAGAGGCTTATAATGGGTAAATACAATTCTCATGTGGATGGCAAGTAATATAATTTAAGGATTAATTATTTAAAATAGGCTTCCACTGGACAAATAAAATCGTTTAGTTACTAGAAAGTAAAATATTCCAGCCGACTGTGAGAGTATTGTAACTTTATTTTATTTATTTATTTAAATGAATTTAAGCACAAAGCTACACAATGGGCTATCTGTGCTCTGCCAACCACGGGTATCGAAACCCGGTTTGTAGCGTTGTAAGTCCGCAGACATACCGCTGTGCCACTGGGGGGCAGTATTGTAACATTCAAGTACAATCATCTAGTGACTAGGAAATGATATCTTGTAAGGATCCAATTAATTACGATAGGTTTTCTGTTTATTTGAATAATTCCTGGGGGGCAGTATTGTAACATTCAAGTACAATCATCTAGCGACTAGTAAATGATATCTTGTAAGAATCCAATTAATTACGATAGGTTTTCTGTTTATTTGAATAATTCCTGGGGGGCAGTATTGTAATATTCAAGTACAATCATCTAGCGACTAGAAAATGATATCTTGTAAGGATCTAATTAATTACGATAGGGATTTCTAGTCGCTAGATGATTGTACTTGAATGTTACAATACTGCCCCCCAGGAATTATTCAAATAAACAGAAAAGAATGTTACAATACTGCTCCCCAGGAATTATTCAAATAAACAGAAAACCTATCGTAATTAATTGGATCCTTACAAGATATAAGTACAATCATCTAGCGACTAGAAAATGACATCTTGTAAGGATCCAATTAATTACGATAGGTTTTCTGTTTATTTGAATAATTCCTGAAGTACAATCATCTAGCGACTAGAAAATGATATCTTGTAAGGATCCAATTAATTATGATAGGTTTTCTGTTTATTTGAATAATTCCTTAAAATATACTCCTTCCATAAATTCGCGGAATATACCCATAGTGAATCTTCATGTCTAGGCCAAAACACCTGCTAATACAAGTTATAGAAGTATTGTCAGTATCTTTGATGTAATGATGTATTAAAACATATTTGATTTTGAGTATAAATCATAGTTTCTCATCCTCCTTCTTTCTGAAACATACATGAATTAACTAACCAATATATATATATATATATATTGTTTTTGGAGAGCTCATAGATGAGGTTAGTATGAAGCATTTTTCATGAGTAATATGTTTCGTTTATTTTAATAATAATTATTTCACTGGCCATTCTTCTTAACTGTGAACTTAAACTTACACGTCATTTACACTTTTTTTTGATAAAACGATTAATTTCGACGTTGTCTTAAACAATATCCTTACAGCAACTCTGGTCATTAAGCAATGTCCATACAGTAATGTTTTCATGAGATCAACCTTATCATTACTGTCTTACTCCCCAAGTGTGACTTTTCATAATCGAACTAATGTCTTAGGCCTAAAACTTTCAAGTTCATGTTTAATTAGAACAAAAAGTATAAAACCCTGTATAAAACCCAGGCATAAGAAGTATGTGTGAATTATATGGCCATTTTTTCATGAAAACATCCATTGGTTTTAAGGTGTGACTGTGATCTCAGAAGCTTTTGGCTTGTGTGTCTCTGCCAGATTAAAATCCTTGTTTATGAGCTCGTGTTATCGTTACCAAGAGATATTTCCAGCTTCATAGCAATGACTTTACAGACATGAAGACTTTATCCACTTTATCCTTTTTTAACCACAGCCTTCGCTTTACGGAAGAGTGCATTAGTCGTAATTGACTTGGTATGTGATTTCAGAGCCAACTACTTTGCTGTGTGAGTTTTTCTGTTTCATGAAGGCCATTAAAGTTTCCCTTCTTTGAATTAGTGCGTTCTTTGATTCTACATCGTCCAACAATTTCGCTGTATGACTTCGGAGTAAGTATTCCCATTCACTGATCAAGTTTTTGGAATCATTTTGCAAGCGCTGTCAGCACGGTTTGCTTTCCTCCGCGAGACAAATCTCTTCTGTCATCACTTGACCTTACTTCTAGAACCATCCAGAGATTCGCAAGGAAACAGTAGTTAATTTTCATGCACTTCCACAGTATGTGAATGGTTATCAATAAGAACGTTTGTGTATGTGTAAAAAACATGTATTATTTTTGCGCTCAAATTTTGAAGCTTGACTGGTATGTGCTCAATACGAAGCTTCAGGCATATATGACCCATCATAAATAAATATGTTTCCACAAAAAACAACAACAACAACAAAACAGCCATTTTGACAACAACTTGTGCTATTTTAAACTGATATTTCATATTTGTATTTATAGGCAAAGCTACTGAGGTGCACCCCAGTGCCACAGCGGTATGTATGCGGACTTACAATGCTAGAAACCGGGTTTCGATACCTGTGGTGGGCAGGGCAGAGATAGTCCATTGTGCATTTTTGTGCTTAAACTACAAATAAACAAACAAGTTACTGAGGCCATCTTCCGTCGTCCCTAATTCCGAAGCATTGATCAGACAGAAGGCAGCCAATCAGCAACACCATACCATCTACGATAAGGGATTGATTCTCATTCTTATAATGCAAACACATATGAAAGTTCGGGGAATATTTTGTGGTATCGCAAGGATTCAAACCCAAGTCAAAATCTCTGAAACCCAGAGCACTACCGCAGGATTAACCCACGCCCCAACTAACATTTCAAGTCAGTATTTTGAAAAATGGCAGCGACATATACTTGCTATATCAGTTTTCGGCAAAATTGGGATTATTCTCATGTCTCTGTTATTAAGTATTGTAGAGATTTAATTTTTACGGGTTGTGTTCTTACAAACGTCGACATTTATGTTATTTAGAGAGAGGTATGCACGCGAGTGTCCACGTTTACTTTCAAACCCTTTTGTTCCTACATGTAGCGCACGCAATGTTTTCGATGAGATTACATACACATTATCAATGCGGGTAAAAAAACAAAACAAAAAACAAGACAGCAAAACATTAAATTCATCACTAGCACATTTCAATCTACTTTTTGTTTGTTTGTTTTTTCCACAAAGCCAAATTTTGTTTGGTAACTACGTTTCACCTAGCGACATTTAAAACAAAAGTCTTACCTGTAAGACGTTACCTAGCAACTGGGCCACTGCCACCAGGGCAATCGCAATTACTCCGTACACTATAGCTGGAAGAAAAATGTTTGTTTATATTAAATGTTTTATAGTTGTAATATTTTCAAACATTATATGCACTCCACCACTGTAAGAAACCTAGTTTTATTCTTTCGATTTGCCATTGTTCAAGATTACTGATGTGTGTGTGTGGGGGGGGGAGGGGGGATACCCCCGACAAAATCTAACTCTTTTTATCTACGTTACACATTTTATTACGCACTTTATTTTTGTGGTATGATACGTTACGTTATCAAAATAATACTAACACATGTAATTCATAGCTAAATTGTTGGGCTTATGAAAGCAGAGTTATTTTGAATTCTTAACACGTCTAACTATCTTTGCACATTATGAACACAATATCTGCTGTATGTCTGTGTTTTAAACTTGTTAAGAACAATCAAAGTATTAGTACCAAGAATTTTGGTCAATCTTGTTGCCCACAGTTCTGATATATCTTTCTTAATGTACGCTTTCACAAAGTCTTCTAAGGTCACTGCGGCCAGTGAGTTGACCCCTGATGATACAGTACTGAAACAAGAGGGAGGTCATAGATCATCTTTCACTGACTAAATGAAAGTAATTTTATAACAACTTACGAACAGATGCTCTAGAGAGATTCTCAAACGTTGCAACTATATTGGGAGTAATGGCATGATATTGATATCAAGTGAAAGTCTGGCAAAGAAGAGTGCTAAAAAGGCGACTGAAAATTACTTGCCATTTGCCATGTAAGGGTTAATATTTGCTAAAAGTACAGCCAAAGTCATTGAATTTACACGTTTCTGCTTTCAACAATATCAGGAAACCGTTAATGAACACTTTCCAATGTATTAAAAAAAAAAACTACGTTAGAAATAATCTGCTTTGATAAAGCAATGACGACATCTAATAATCAGACTTTACGTAATCTTTTAAATCTCATTTTAAAACTGATATTTGATTTATATTTTTTCAACCAGCAATCTCTTATTCAAATCTGAAGCGTATCATTTTAACAGTTTATTACCAGAAGCATACCAGCGCTTCATTACATAAAAAAATAGTGGGCAAACAGCATTGAACTAAATACGAAAACAAACAAAAACCAATAGAGTTATTGGATAATGCATTTAGAGACGAAGCTTAAAATATCCTAATTTATTTTCTTGGTGAAATGCTCACCTGAGGGCTCCACTGAAGATCCCAGAAACAAATAAACCAGGAAGTCCTGGTAGGAAACCCAACACATCCATCACAAACAGGGGGAATAACTAGGAATGGTTGAAAAGATGTTGCATTTCCGAAAAAAAATTAAGCAAAATAATAAATTATTCAGTTATTATAATACGATTTAAAACCATTTTCTATAATCCTGATGACTTAAACACTTGTACAAAAATAAGTAAAAAAATATTTAGTGAAAAAAATCTGGGCAAGATAAATTAAATTGATTTGTGTGTGTGAAAACAACGATTCTTCCAGTAACGAGTGAAACATGTCAGGTTTTCTTGAACGAGTGAAACATGTCAGGTTTTCTTGACATTATTACTAAATCGTGTAGAAGCACAAGATTGCAGAAATCGTCAGCTAATTCCTCAGAGTTACAAGGGCGCTGAAATCATCGGTTAGTTGCACAAAAGGATATATGATATTTTTTGTTTAGGGGAAATATGAGACACAGATGTGTCCTGCAGGTGAGAACATGGCTAATTGACACACGTAATGATTAATATATTGCGAGACTATGTGAATAAGATATGAATGGAACAATCTTAGATGCCAATACTTATAAACAATACTTATGAGTGGAACAATCTTAGATGCCAATACTTATAAACAATACTTATGAGTGGAACAATCTTAGATGCCAATACTTATAAACAATACTTATGAGTGGAACAATCTTAGATGCCAATACTTATAAAGAATACTTGTGAGTTGAAAAATCTCAGATGCCAATACTTATAAACAATACTTATGAGTGGAACAATCTTAGATGCCAATACTTATAAAGAATACTTATGAGTTGAACAATCTAGATGCCAATACTTATAAACAATACTTATGAGTGGAACAATCTTAGATGCCAATACTTATAAAGAATACTTATGAGTGGAACAATCTTAGTTGCCAATACTTATAAACAATACTTATGTAAATAATGGACTTTATCTTCTAACTGTAACGTTACTGGAAATGACAATGTACAAACAGGACTTAATATCTAAGAAAACACCATGCAAACAGAACGGCATACAAAAACTTGTATTACTCCGCCTCGTTGCATAAATCCAAATAAGTTAAAAGTTGATGACTGTATTATCATGTGAAAACAGGGCCAATAACCTGAGAATAACCTCCAGGCTACTACAGAGATAGTCTAGAGCAACAGCAATAAAACAGTTGTGGCATCCTTAAGATAATGGTTACTGGCAAACTTCTGCAGACAACTAAAGTCAAGAAATATACCCAAATTGTCTTTTAGCTATTGTAAAGTTAAGATTAATATTCTAGTTAGTTTTCATGCCCTAAGTAACTGAACCAAGAAGACACATAGAAATACAATTACGACAAAATACAAGCCCCAAAACACATGTATACAAATAATTTCATTACACATAACATAGATTAAAATCATAATCAACAACGAACTCACTGATTGTCATTAGGTATATTAGGTAATTCCAACCAGAACAGTACCTTATGCACACATGGCTTGAATGACCAGGTCAGAGACCCCTGGTTGGAACCTTTGACCAGAAGAAAGGCAAACAGTCAGCAGCATTCACTGCCATAAAAGATTTGTCTACCTTTGAACCGAATAATGGGATTAACTGTCACTTTTATAATGCCCTTACAGCTGAAAGTGTAGAGCGTGCTCCGTGGAAAAAGAAAAAATCGTGACAGGGAGTTAGTTTTTAAGGGGAAAGAAACTTTCCCGATCTTGGGTGTTCAGGGATATTGATATCCCACTTCGCCCCGCTCGCGGAAGATTTAATAAACCAGCGTTAAAATTATGCGAAAATGCAAATAGATGTGAATATATGTACATACACTGAGTGGTCACAAGTAAATAGACAACACCTTTTCAGAAAAAATGAAAATTTTCAGTCATATTCACATGAATTCATATATTTATAATTTAATTAATATCTAATAGATCTTCCTTTCGCTTCGTGGAGTTCGTTGATCCTTTGGGGCATCATGAGAATCATCTCGTCAATTTTAGATTGTGGGATTTTCGCCCACTCTTGCTTCAAAACTTAGAGTAGATCGCTCTTCGAAGTTGTTGTTTTTTTGTTGTTTCTTGACTTGCCGGTCGAATATGGCCCAGAGTTTTTCTATGGGGTTCATGTCAGGAAATTGGCTCGGCCAGGGCACCTTCTGGATGCCATTTTCTTCCTGCCACTTTTGGGAGTTTCTAG